CACTGCAGTCGGTGGGGGCCCTGTGGCTTGGGCAGCGGGGCCCCCATTCTGCCACCTAACTGCCCAAAGGAGTGAGTAGCCAGCTCTGCTCAGAGTGCAGCACAGTAAGAATCGAGTATCAAAAATTTCAGGTAACATGGGTACAGAATTTGCTTCAGAACCTAGAAATTAACTCTCTTAACATCTCAGGAGGGCCTCCTTTTCCATTTAGCATGCTTGGGGAAAAAAGTGTTTCCAACCTAGGAAACCAGTCAATGGTGGTGGAAATTTGCAGCCTATCCAGATTGCAAAAGATACTAATATTAGAAAATTTACGGTTTGTAAAGCATGCACAGGATAGAGGTCAAGGGTGTCGCTGGACAGCTTTTTGCTGAAGAGGTTAGGTATGTGACTCATGGACTCACTCACCCACTTGGCCGGAGCCTGGAGCGGATGGTGTTATCCAGGAGAGATGTGTGCAGAAGCCTCTTGTCAGGTCGTGTGGACCCCCGTAACACACATGGGAGACACACAGAGTTTTTGAGAATCCTGGATCAGCAGGAGCATTACCAGCTTGAGCTGGAAGGAACAAGAGACAGGCTAAAATGAGGGAAGCCTGTTGGACCCCCCAATCCAACAGGCAGGAAACAGGCTGGTAGAGCTGCCCCGCTGCAAACTGGCGCTACCCTTGCAGAGAAAGGAAGAATCACTGAGGCCACAGGTGTGCAGGCCCAGAGAGGGGAGCATCCAGTCACAGAAGACTGTCCCCAGCTCTCCTAACCTGAAAGAGTTGGCCTGCTGGGCAGGATACGGGTGTTCTTTTCAGGTCCATGTTTTACGGATAGTCTTTCTCAATCTATAGCTTGAATTTTTACTATTGGTGAAATTATGAAAATTAATTTTGCATAGTCAAATTTATAAGTCTTTTTTGCTGTTGGTTACACTCTCTCTGTATGTTGTTTAGGAAGCTGTTCTGTGCTCCGGATGATGGAGCTGTCCTCCTGCATTAGCTTCTGAAAGCATAGCAGCGTTGTCTTTGACAACCTTTTTTTATAGCGTGAAACAGGATTTTCGTGTATCACTACCACACCAGTTGTCTCAGCATGCCTTGTAAGAAAGACTGTTCCTCAGTGACGAGAGCCCCTCTGTCATACGCTAGGACTCAGACACGCATAGGCCGCTCTGGGTCTCCTGTGCTGTCCCCTTGGGGGGTTTGCCTGTTCCTGAGCCAGAACTCACACACCTTTGTCCCGAGTTAGTGGTTCCTAGAAAGGGCCTTCCTCCTTGTGCTCTTCAAGAGCAGCTTTGTTCTCACTGGCTGTTTGCATTTAATACTATATCTTCCAGACCATGAATCTAGCCTATCTCTAAATTTTTCTTTAAGATTTTTTTATTTAGGGGCGCCTGGGTGGCTCAGTAATTAAGCGTCTGCCTTCAGCTCAGGTCATGATCTCAGGGTCCTGGAATCGAGCCCCACATCGGGCTCCTGCTCCACGGGGAGCCTGCTTCTCCCTCTCCCACTCCCCCTGCTTGTGCTCACTCTCTTGCTATGTCTCTCTCTGTCAAATAAATAAAATCTAAAAAAAACAAAACCAAAAAAACGATGTATTTATTTATTGGGGGGGGTGGGCGGGCAGAGGGAGAGAATCTCAAGCAGACTCCCTGCTGACCGTGGAGCCCAACACAGGGCTCGATCCTGTGACCCTGAGATCATGAACTGAGCCGAAATCATGAGTCAGCTGCTCAACCGACTGAGCCACCCAGGCGCCCCAACATAACTCTTAATTTTTTAGGTATTCGGTATCTCAGATTTTAAAAAATTTCTTAGAAATCTTGCACAACTTTTATTAGAGCTATTCTTAGATACTTGATATTTTTTAAATGCTGTTGTAAATACTGTAGGTTTTGAAAGAACTGTTTCCTTTGTATTTGTTACTGGTATGGAGAAATCAGATGACTTCTATAAAATGATTGAATCCATCAATTTTGGTAAAACTTTATTGATTTCAATTATTAATCTGTGGTTTATTGGATTTTCTCTATAGGTAATTGTAT